GGGGTGATGCCAGCGGTTCGCGCCCGCCTCGCCGGCCAGGCGATGGAGGCAGACCGCGCCGCCAAGGCCCCCGCCCGCGCCACTTCGACGTGGGGAGGGGCGGGGACGGAGGACCGGGCCGGCATCCTCCGAACCTTCGGCCTGGAGGCTGGCGTTGTTTTGGCTGTGCGCGAGATGGGTCGCCGAGAGATCCAGCGCTCAGCCGAAGCCCCCGAGGATCCCGGCTCGGACGAGGGATCCTTGTTCGGGGGCTAGATTAGTCGCACCGCCTTCAGGGCCAACCCATACCATACCAAACCCTCCTCCTCCTCCTCCTCCTCCTCCTCCTCCTCCTCCTCATCATCATCAGCAGCAGCAGCAGCAGCGGCATCAGCATCTGCATCAGCATCATCAGCATCATCATCACCATCATCATCACCACCATCATCATCATCAGCATCATCGCCACCGCCATCATCATCATCCTCATCATCATCAGCATCCTCATCATCAGCATCATCACCATCATCATTCGCATCATCATCATCATCATCATCATCATCATCATCATCATCATCATCATCATCATCATCATCATCATCATCATCATCATCATCATCATCTTCATCATCGACATCATCATCATCATCATCATCATCATCATCATCATCATCATCATCATCATCATCATCATCATCATCATCATCATCATCATCATCTTCATCATCGACAGCATCAGCATTCTCATCATAATCCTCATCCTCCTCCTCATCGTCATTACCATCAGCACCAGCATCATCACCATCACCATCATCAAAACCATAATCAGTACTATCACTGTCAGCATCGCCATCGTCATCAGCACCATTCCCATCGTCCTTGTCATCAATATCAGCATCACCAGCATCACCATTATCATCAACATGACCATCATTATGATCCTCATTTCCCACACCATCACCCTCATCAAATTCATCTTATTCATCATCATCCTCATCCTCATCCTCATCCTCATCATCATCAGCTTCATCATTCTCACCCAAAACCAACATCATCGTTGTTGTTGCTATCGTCATCACAACTACCGAAAACAGGTGCATGCTCATCAGCATCACTCTCATCACCGTGCTCCATGGTGCAATCACAAGCACCATCCTCATCCTCATCATCGTCGCAACCGCCATCGCCAACGCCGTCGTCCCAGACCTATGATCAAGTGGGTCCGAGACTATCGCTCGGTTCCACAAGCATGTGGCCACCACAACCTCCCACCTCTCCCCCTCTTCCCCCCCTTCTCCTCATCCCCCTCCCCCATTCATTTCACCCTGACCTCGCCCTCTTTCCCAAAATCCTTCCCCTCCTCCTGCCCCTCCTCCTCCTCCTCCTCCTCCTCCTCCTCCGCTTCTTCTTCAACACCTCCTAACCCTCATCGTTCCTCCCTTTCCTCACCCTCCTCCGCATCTTAATACTTGTCTGCCGCATCCGCCTCCGGCTCCGTCTGACCCTCTTCCGTAGCCACGTCAGCTGAAGTGCTCTCGTTTCCCTGGGAATAGAGTAGACGCCGCTGATCCGCGGCAGTCAAGGCTGTTCAGCCTGGCAGTCTCACAGTGCTGGTCCGTCCCAGCGCAACCTGCCTCCCGCGTCCGCGGGTGAGCAGAAGTTTCTCGGCGTGTGCGGATGGCACAACATGTGCATGAGAAGGGCCCAGTGGCCTTGCACCCAGGCAGAAGCAGAAGGCTATCAATATACGACGCAAGTTGATCAGGCCCCCTTCAGTTGCTACCATGTGGCGTCGTGGTCAGCGCACTTGCTCACGCAATGAGCAGTAGGGGCTGCATGACATACACGCTGCAGGTAAGAAAGATATATCCTCCCAGGGTGGTACGATCGAAGAAGAATAGGGCGCATATCGAAGGTTTGGGATTTACGTGTTGAATGGCACGCGAGCAGATGAAAGCGAACAATTTTCAACTGATTTGTTGTTGTTGTTGGTGGTGGTGTGGTGCTGTTGTTGTTGGTGTTGTCGTCACGCTTTCAGGTGCGAAACCAGCCAATGGAACACCTGTCCGTTGCCTTTCCACTTCCACTGCCTTTCCACTAAGTCTTGAGATCTGACAATGCCGCGTGCCTGACGTCCGCATGCAGAGGTGCCGTGTTCGACACATGCTGGTCGAGCCAAGGGCGAGAAGTGACAAAAAAACAACATACCCAAAGCGCTTCTACGAACAACTAAGATCCGACCCCTCCTCTCATCCCTTCCCCTCCTCCCCTTCGCGCCCCGCACCCCATCCGCCGCCTCCCCCACCCCTTTTCATTATACATAACTTCTCCCACTCGCACCCCGAGGCAAGTGATTAGGGCGGGCCAGGCATTTCGCTTGAGACTTCCACACCAATGGTGACCCTGAAGCTTAAACATGACAATCGCTTCTCAGATGGAGGGCGGGAGGTTCTCAAAATGTTCGCGCCACGCACATTCGTTTTAAACATGTGCAAGTTCACGGATTGAGGGCGACTGGTTTCAGAATGTGGCTCTCGCCTTAGCGCCGCGACCACTCGCCTTAAACATTTGGATGCTTCGCGGGTTGAAGCCGGTTCCTTTTCAAACTGGTGCTCTCGTCTTGGCGCCGCGCACATTCGTTTTGTAAATTTGACGCATGCAAGAGTTTCGCAGCTGTCCATGATCAGTGCTCCAGAGATTGCGACCTGGAAGGAGTCAGGATTATGAGGGTGCGACAATTACATGGGTTCGCGGTGTTGAAGTCCCATGGATGGCGTTCCGGTACGATTCAGGACCGTCGAGACGCAACACTCAAGTTGATCCGTGGCATTGGGATCTCGAGAATGGTTTGGCATTATTCAAGATCTTCAGGCGGTTGTCTTCCAACTAAGCAATTCCCTTCAGTGGAAATGGCCTGTTGTAGGGGCCTGTGGGGAGGGAGCTTGGAGGGAGGGTTGAATCCAACATCGTTGATGACTCTTGGGCTTACACTGGTCCTCCTCCTCCTCCTCCTGCGCCCTATCCCTGGCCAGGCGGAGGTCAGCGGCCCGTCCCCGCTGACCCCAGGAGCAAGAGAACAGACGATGCTCCACCCAATCTCCTCCTCCTCCCTCTCCTCCTCCTTCTCCTCATCCTCCTAATCTCCTCCTCCTCCTCCTCGTCCTCGACCGTTCCCATCCTGCTCCCGAAACCATGATACGTCGCACCAACTTCGGTATGATGGCGAATAGCGTCGGCACCTCATCTACCTCCTCCTCCTCCTCCTCCTCCTCCTCCTCCTCCTCCTCCTCCTCCCACCAACCTCCCCCTCTACCCTCCTGACCCCTCTCCTCTATCCTCCCACCCTCCGCATCCACACCTTACACGTGCTCTCCGCCTCCCGCTCGGTCTGACCCTCGTCCTCCTCCTCCTCCTCGGCCCTTCCTCCCCCTCCTACCAGCTGGTAAACTGATGCCTGGTGATATCCTCGTGATGTTTGACCAGGGGGACCCAGCCGCGTCGACGAGGAGCCCCCAGAGGACCCCAAAAGGTCGAGAGAAGGCCCCGGGAGGACCCCAGCGGGCGGAACACGCCCCGCAACCTGGATTCTCAAAGCTCGAACCTGCCCCAATCCCTCCCCGTCCCCTCCCCTCCTCCCCAAACCGTTCCCCGCCCCACACCCGCCCCCTCCTCCTGTGCCCTCCTCCTGTGCCTTCCTCCTGTGCCCTCCCCGTCCCCTCCCCCCCCCTCCTCCCCTACCCTCCTCCCAATCCCTCCCCGTCCCCTCCCCGTCCCCTCCCCTCCTCCCCGTCCCTCCCCGCCACGTCCCCAATTCCTCCCCGTCCCCTCCCCTCCTCCCCAAAACGTTCCCCGCCCCACACCCGCCTCCTCCTCCTGTGCCCTCTCGCCCTCATCCCAAGCAAGCTGTACGTCGGCGTCCCACCCCATCCGCCCCCCGGGGGGCAAGAGAACATACGAATCCTCCTCTGTCGTGTCGTCCTCCTCCTCTCATGTTTGCTGCTCCTCCCTCCTCCTCCGCCTCCTCGAACCTTTTGTACGCTTGCGCCAACTTCGGGCATGACAGAGAATGTAGCAACCAACACATTCTCCACCACCCTCCTCTCTCCTCCCTCCTCCTCCTCCTCCTCCTTTTCCTCATCTGCACCCCTCCCTCTCCTCCTCCTCCTCCTCTTCCTCCTCCTCCGCCTCCTCGTAACTCATCCTCCTCATCTGCTCCTCTCCTCCTGCTGTCCTAACCTCTCCTTCTCGCTTCGCTCCTCCTCTCCCTCCTCCTCCTCCTTCTCCTGCTCCTGCTCCTTCTTCTCCTCCTTGCCGTTCCTCCTTCTCTTCCTCCTTGTCCTTTCATCCTCGCCTCCTCCTCCTCCTCCTCCTCCTCCTCTTCCGTCTTGTTGTCCTCCTTCTCCTCCTCCCCTATCCTCCCTCCCACTCCTCATTTCCCTACTCCTCCAACTCCTCCTCACTCTGCTCCTCGTCCTGCTCCTCCTCCTCCTGCTCCTTATCCTCCTCCTCCTCCTCCTCCTCCTCCTCTTCCCTGCTCCTCCTTCTCTTCTTATTATTATTATTCTGCTTATTATTTCTACTACTATTATTATTATTCTTATTATTAGTACTATTATTAGGATTATTATTATTATTTTTTATTATTATTAATATTACTAATATTATTAGTATTATTAGTGTTATTGTTATTAGTATTAATATTATCATCATTCGCATTATCATTATCATCATTATTATTAGTATTATTATCATTATTACTATTATTAGTATTATTATTATTATGACTATTATTATGTTTATTATTATGTTTATTATTATTAATAGTAGTATTATTAGAATATTATTTTCTTCTTTTTCTTCTTCCTCATCCTCCCTCCTCCCTCCTCCCTCCTTCCCCCTCCCTCCTCCCTCCTCCCTCTTCCTCCCTCCTCCATACTCTCTCCTCCCTCCTCCATCCTGCTGCCCCCCCCCCCTCCCCCTCCCCTCCTCCGCCTCTCGGCGAAGGCCCTGGCGCTGGCGGCCTCCGGCCGCACCCCCGCATTCTTCGCCATGTCGTAGGCCTCGGCGGCCTGGCCAGCCGCTCTTGGAGGGGGGGCCTTCTGGGAGGGGGGCTGCCAGGTGGCCGGACACGGTCGGGACCTTTTGCTTCGCGCGTCGCGGCGGCGGCCCCCGCGGCACGCTCTGCCCGGCGAGCAGGTAGCGTGCTCCGCTCCGCGGGGCGGGAGGCTGGGAAGCGCTCGGGACGCTGGCGCTTGGTAATGGGGACGTTTGAGCAGAAACCACACGACACCATCCCACCTACGGCCCCACGTGGCCAAGCGTATACCAACCAATCTGGCGTGGTCTCTTGCGTGCTATGCGCTGCGGCCCCCGATAGACCGTATCGCAACATGGAGGGCCGTAGCTGTGGTGGTGTCGTTTGTTTTGTTGGTCGAGATGTGGCTAGCATGTCGCGCCGACTGGCGGGGCGGCCTTCTAAACCAGAATCGTTGACCGTAAAGGGCTCATGTAGTCGAACAAAACAACGTGGACCCCCGACGTCATGGTTTCTGTTCGCAGCATGGACCCTCGATGCCTCGATCCCTTCCCTGGGGCCTGCTCCCCATGCCGAGCTGCTATCTGACGGTGCCGGGGCCTGGCGAGGGCCCCCAGAGGCCGAAGACAGTCCAAAAACTGATATGTTGGAGCAAGAATCCGATTAAGCAAAAATCCCAGGACTCCCCCCCCCGGACAACCAGGGCAACCTGTGCTGCTTCATGACGACAAGACTTCCTGCCCCCGGACAGCCCCTTGGACAGACCAGGTTGTCCAGACATCCCCCCTCCAGACAACCCCCCCTTGGACAAGCTCCCCTAGGATTTCGTTTAGAAGACAAAAGAAAACGCCATAAACAAAAACTTCTGGCGCTCCGCGCAGATTTCTTGGATCTGCGCAGGAGCCCCCTCCCTGGCGCGCTGAGCGCGCCAGGTGCGGAGCCAGAGGCGCCGCCGGGGGGGGGCCATCGCGGATCCAAGGAATCCGCACAGAGCGCCAAAAGTTTTTGGTTATGGCGTTATTGTTTCTTCCTCGATGTTCTTTAGATCATTGGTGCCAGCGTCAAAAAGCAAAACTTTCTCCCATGATTTTCTAACATACGCACATTACGTGTATATACATATATATATATATATATATACATTATACGCAAAAGAAGGGGAAGCCAATCTGTACTGATACCGCTGCTCCCTGGGCCTCTCCCGGGGTGCGTTCTGACCAGAATTTCGAGGCGAAGCCAGCGGTGGCGACGAGGGCCTCCGAGGAGGCCCCCAAAAAGGGGACACAGGGGTGGAGGGAAGCGGTATGGGTACTTGTCCGCCTCCGATAGGCACAAATCCCAGGACTCCCGATATGTTCCCACATGTTCGGGATGTTCGCTCCTCCTCGATCCTCGACGAGGAGGTGGAGGTGGAGAAGGTGGAGGTGGAGGAAGAGGAGGAGGAAAAGAGGAGGAGAAAAAGAGGAGGAGGAAAAGAGGAGGAGGAGAAGGAAGAGGATGAGGAGGAGTAGGTAGGTCAGGAGGAGGAGGAGTGGAGGAGGGGAGGAGGTGAGGAGGAGGTAGGAGTAGGAAAACGAGGAGGAGGACGAGGAGGAGGAGGAGGAGGAGGACGAGGAGGCGGAGGTTTACGCTGGTCTCCTCGGCGAGGGGGGAGCCCAACGGCGGCCTAGGTAAGCCCCGGGGCCGCTTGGGGGCGGGGGGGGCGCTCGGGGGGGGGGCTCGGGGCGGCCGAGAATGGCCCAGCGCAGAGCGGGAGGAGCGGGGGAGGCCCACGGCTCGCACCCAGACGGTGGCCTCTCGGCCCTCCGCTGCCGCCGCCGCCGCCGAAGTCGGATTGGTACACCAGCGTGTGACGAGACAGGCGGTCGTCGTCCACATAGGAGGAGGAGGAGGAGGAGGAGGGGGGGGGGGACAAGGGGGAGGGGAGGCGGAGGGAGAGGAGAAGGAGGAGGAAGAGGAGGAGCAGGACGAGGAGCAGAGTGAGGAGGAGGAGGAGGAGGAGGAGGATGAGGAAGAGGAGGAGGAGGAGGAGGAGGAGGAGGAGCAGGACGAGGAGCAGAGTGAGGAGGAGGATGAGGAGGATGAGGAGCAGGAGGAGGAGGGGAAGGAGGAGGAGGACGAGGAGGAGGAGGAGGAGGAGGAGGAGGAGGAGGAGGAGGAGGAGGAGGAGGGGGAGGAGTGAGCGTCCCTGGAAGAAGAGTCAATGTCTGTTGCAATCTACTCAGATCCGCCACCCCACAGAGGAGTAGGAGGCGACACGGCGGCTTGGGCGAAGCCAAGATTAGGCGCGCATACGGGGGAGCCCGAGGCAGGCGGGACAGGGTAGGCGCACGCGAGGAAGGGTGGAGGCGAGCTGGACAGTACCTCGAAGAAAAGAGGCGGGGACACGCGCCCCTCGAAGTCGAACTCGTATTAGGTGCCGATGGGGCAGAAGTAAGCGCTTCCGCAGTGTTGAGCATCCGGTCCGGCCCTCGGGCTGGCCCAGCTAATACTGCGCCAGGACGGGAGTATATAAGGTTACGGTGCTGCAACAGTTGGACAAGGCCTTGAATGGCCGTAAGAAAGGTCGCGCCAGGAACCAAGTCGTCAGCGTTCAGGGTCGGTACGGCCCGGTAGCGAATCGGATACATCCAGGAGACTTGGTCTTCAGCATGCTGACTGGACAGCAGGTGGTGCAGCGAGTGGACGACTGTCCCCAGAATTCAGTATCCACCATCGCGTGAACCTCAGGGGCACTGTGTCCAGCAGCACGGGCAAGCCACAGTGTCGCCGCCAATGGCGGAGTGTCCGCATATTCCTGGAAACGACGGCAAAGACGAGCATGTTCATCAGCAATCGCACCGTCGGAGACCTCCGAAAAATGTGAATATTTGCACCCATCTCCGCGAGAACAGCGCGGAAAGAAACGGCATGCAGGACGCGTCGCGATCCTCGGGCCCTCCTTACGAACCTTCAAGCAGTAGAAAGCGACAGCCAGAGTTGGCGCAGGAGCGCCCTGAAGATTTGCAGCGGCACGGTCACCAGGATCGTGAGCTAGCCCGTCTCCACCCGCAGCGGTCGCATCGGCAGGAGCTCGATCCACAGCAGCAGCATGAGGGTCCACGTCAGGTGGTAGAGAACCAGGAGCGCCACGCGCGGCAGCAGCAACAAGGCGAGGTGGAAGAACACCACCATGTTGAGCACTATCTGGAGCTTGCGGCGCGCCAGGGAATGCCTCTGCAGAACCAGCGCGAACACCAGGGAGAGCATCGGGTAGCACGTCCTCGTGAACATCAAAGTCGCTCGCATGGGCCTCCTCGTCCAGATCACGGAGATGAGCACCCGCGCACCAGGGAACGCCCTCAGCGTGAGGTGCCGCGCTCGCCACGCTTTTCTCCTCGAACCTCCGCAGCTCGAATTCCTTATCGATGTTCCAGCCGGAGGGGTCGTCACACACCGGCGACGAAGGAGGAACGCATACACCAGGCGACGAACATGAGGGTGGAGAAGACGAACATTTATTCACCTGCAGCTCGGCGATGAACGAGGCCACCTGCGGGATGTCAGAGTCTGAGCACGTTGCGATCGGGAAGACCACATTCTGGTTGAAAGAGGCGAACATCGACTGCATACCGATCGAGAAAGCAGAAAGCATGTGCGACACAGCCCCCATACACTGGGCGGCGATGACAGACGAAAGCTCGTAGGGCGCCACCTTGCACGAAAACGAAGAGGACGAACACGCAGAAATCAGCACCTCCAAACAGAGCGCCTCACGAGGAGGCAGCGCAGGCGGCCGGACCACAGCAGCCCCCACCTCTTCCCCAACATGAGCACGCGGCACCTGCACAGGGGGCACATGATGCTTGGCCCTGCCAGCACGAACGTGAGCACGAAGATGAGCGGCCGTCACATCAGAACCCACACGATCACGCGCAAGAAGAGCGGCCTGACGGAGCCCATGAGAACGTACCCCGTTACCGGCTTGAAGATGGGCGTGTAGAACAAGACCTTGGCACATGCACTTCGCATTCTCATACAATTCAGCAGGTACAGCGATGAAGCGATGACCAGCAGGCGGGACATGCAGAAAGCCAAGACGACGAGCCCGACGAGCCCGAGCGTCACGAGCAGCCGCAGAACGCTGATGAACCATTTCACCTGCGTAGAGCCATGCACGCCACCAGAGCGGCGCCAGCAGCCATCGACATGCAGCGGAGACAAGGGCGCGTCTGGGGCCCCGACCTAACATGGACTTGAGCCAAAATGGCTACGGAGGAGGAGGGGGAGGAGGGGGAGGAGGGAGGAGGGAGGAGGGAGGAGGAGGAGGAGGAGGAGGAGGAGGAGGAGGAGGAGGAGGAGGAGCAGGAGGAGGAGGAGGAGCTAAATCGACGCTAGTAAATGCTAAATCGGCGCTAACTCATCGCCCCCCCCAGACGTGAATATCGACGCGGGAAGCGGGAGGCCTCGCGCACCCGAAGGCGGTCTCTCGGCCCTCCCCCCATCAGGGCAGCTCCAAGGGTTCGGTGGCAAGGAGGTTTGTCGCCATTTTCGGCCCCTGGGGGCCCTTACCGGGCCGCGGGACCGTCAACAAACGACTCGGGATGAAAAACAGTTCCTGGGGAATGGGTTCAGACCTCGGGGGGTCGACGTGGCAACTCACGGGAGCCTCCCATACCATCTTGTTGGCTCTTGCGAACCAGCGCTGAGCGACGCCAAGTCGACTAGTCGACGCTGAGTCGACGCAAATCGAGGCTAAACCGGCGCTAGCTCATCGCCTCCCAGGCGCGAATATCGACGCCGGGAGCGGGAGGCCTCGCGCACCCGGGGGCGGTCTCTCGGCCCTCCCCCCGTCAGGGCAGCGCCAAGGGTTCGGTGGCAACTCACGGGAGCCTCCTCATCACGTCCAACCCGCGTGTACTCTCCGCCCCGACGCCTCCCTGGCGCTCTCCGAGGCGTCCAAAATGCATCCGCTGGCACCAAGGCGGCCCAGGCAAAGCTCCAACGCCACCAGTATGGTCCAAGATGCCTCCAGGTGGGCATCTTGTCGACTCT